TGGGCTTTTGGTGGAATAGTGGGGCCCGAACCGTTGTGGTGATCTATTTATGATATTAAGCAAAAAAATTAATCATCTTTACTTTACCAGTTTATTAGCAAACTTCAATATAGCAGAGAATTCGAAATGATCAATTGAAGCTCTTAGAGGCTTATGTATACTTATTAGCTCATTATTATGTCATCTTATTTCAAAATTATTATTAAGATCAACATAGTTTACTTACAAAGTTATTACAAAAAGACAGAAAAAGAAAAGATAAGAAAAATTCGAAAATATAGGTGTAAAAGTTGGAAAATGGTTTTTAGCTTATTTATAATTAAGTTATGGGTTTTATAAGGTTAGAATATGAAAGAACAACAGTTTATTATACAGGAACAATTTTAATATTCAAGGTTGATAAGGGGAAACAGAGGTTATTAGCAGAAAGGTACTTTTTCGAAGTTGGTAAACAAGGGTTAGGCGTGTAGTTTACATATGTAATGGTGGTAGTGATGGAATTTAAGGTTGCCAAGAGGATTTTCCGGGATTTTTAAGGTTATAGAAGATGATTTCATATTACATGAGCAAGGAAAAGGGAGTAGCAGCTGTGAAAAGTGAAGAAAATAGGTGAAAATCGTCGAAAATGGAGGTTTTCAGCTAATTACATATGTCAAATGACGTCAGAATAAGTTGGTAGATGACTCATTCAACGCAGGAGAGTGGATTACATAATGTACAACCTTTGAATCATTAGTAACGGAGGTGTATGTAAAAAGTTATAAGGGAAATAAGAAATTGGTGTGAATCTCGAATTTACAGTCACAAGACACATGTAACACCAAAAACCTTAACTTCACAACTCAATATCTTACTCATCACTCATCAGAAGTAGGTCTTATAGGTGTCAGAAATGATCAGTAACACGTGGGCTACAAGATGCACTTTAGTAATCAAAAATTGGAGCACATCTGAAAAAATTCGTAATCTCAAAAATTGGGTTTCAGCTAGTTTACAAGGAAAAAATCACCTGTATTCATCTTAAGAAGTGCTGTACATTACATCATTGCGTCATTGATCACTTTTGGCTGTGAAAATTACATCATACATTAGTAACAAGATCATTACATTGCGTCATTACATGGTTTTTAGGGTTATTTAGGCGGATTTGATTGGTTTTTGAGGCTGTTGACTGTTGTAAAGATTGTTACATGTGGATATAAGTACTCCTTGATGATTTTGGGATTGTAGCGCCCTTTTCTGCATCTTATACCTTTGTTGTAGTGTTATAAATCATCATTTATTTACTATATTTGTACTAAGATCACTTAAATCCGCCCCTTCAAAAGCAAGGAGAAATTTATTTACGTGTGTTAAAGACTACAAGTCTAATTGGGAATAATACTTACAACAGTATTGCTAGTAATAAACATAGTGTGTGACTTTTTTGCGCTTAAAATCTGGGAATAATACTTAACAACAGTATTGCTTTATTTCTCTGGTGCCTTTTATCCTTTTCTCTGTTATCACAAAGTGGTCAGCAAGTGCCCTTGTGCTGGTTTCTTTGAAGAAGGCAGTCTTTAGGCAACTTCTACTATATTACACGTAGTAGATTATCCCTTCTTAGGTGTTGTAAAGCTCTTGTTGAGCTTTAAATACTACACCGTCTTCGTCTGTTGCGAAAGGTAGGGATTTTGCCAACTCTGCCGTCGAGCTGCTGATTGAGACGGATGAGGCAATCGAGTCGTCTGATACATACCCGTCGTCTCGTCGGCGTCGTTTGCTAGAGGAGGACTCCTTTCTCTTGCTTTTTCGTTGTTTTGAGCTTGCTGCTGCGGGGTCTGTTCCTTCCGCGAGGTCCTCTTCTTGTAGTCCCAGCGGGTTGTTCTCCTTGCGAAGAGCGTGTACGGCGTTGATGGCCGTGTTCTGACCGGGCGGACGTTGGGCGGGCTGTTGCTGTTGTTGCAATTGTCCGTCGTTTTGCTGTGGCTCGTTTTGCTGTTGCTGGTTTTCGAAAAGTTGGCGTGTTTGATGCACGTAGCCCTGGAGCAGGCCTGGTGGTAGGATGTAAGCGGGGGTGTACTGCAAAGGAAAGTGCGGTGGTGGTAGGACTCCTCCCACTTGGTAAGGCTGCCTTCCTTGCTCGAGGTCAATTTTGCAGGCTGAGAGCCCGAAATCTGAGAACTTATGCAGGAAGTAAGGGTCGTCGTATGGCACGATCGCTGCGAACCTGTCCCGTAGCGTGAGTATGTCGCACGTAGAACTGCCGCCTGTTTGGCTGAACTCCTGCAGAAGCTGAGCCAGGCGTTGTTGAGTTGTATTGGCATCTTGGTTGAATGTGTTGATATTCGCCATTCACTTTTGTAGAGGTGCGTGGAATGCCGGTGAATCTGGTATAGAGAGATGTTGGATAAACAAAGTTTCAGAGAGGTGTATCAAAATAAGGTTTTAGATCGGAGCTAAAAAAACAAGGGAATTTTTTTCTGGTTGTGGGGTAACTTGATCTGGACAATCGTGAAACCTGTCGATCTGTTGCTGATAAGTTTCTACAATTCTTAGGAGGAGGGAGAGAAACTGTTTTGTGATAAGACTTTCTTGGATCTTGATGTCTCAGATTGTCGACTCCTAAGATTTTGTTCGTAGGCTGTTGTTCTGGAGGGAAGAATCAGGCCTACTGTGCTGAGCGGTTAGTTTGGATACTCGCGGCTCCTTGGCCATGAGATGTCACGTATGTGGTTGGCTGCGAGTGAGAAACAACCATGCGTCAGCTGCGGAGTCTTACTACAATCTTGTGACATCAGGCTCCTGTCTGGAAGAATCCAATCACCATATCCCACTCGTTTAATCGGGACATCAAACCCGATTAAACCTTGACAGAGTTTCTGTGTCAGTTTGCGCTGAGTTTATCCGGGATTTCTATCTGATTATGTATCTCCAAGAATCTATCACAGCATTTCATCTTTCTTTATCCTTCTTTATTTCTCACTTTTTAACCCAGCTTTTTCAAACTTATTGCAATGATTATAGGAGCATATATAAATTTGAGAACAGGATGGATAACAAACAATGAAGGATTTGTACAACAAACTTTGGAACTTGTGTCATCTTTAGTGCCTATACTACAATATCAAGCTCAAGAATCCCCATTACGAGGTGGATCAAAAGCAGTCAGAGCACCAAATCTAAACAGCAAAGCAATATAAGGACACAAAAAATTATACAACAATTCTTTTTCAGATTCTTCTATATTTGAATCTATTACATTTTGTGAAAAGTTCAGGATGAATGAAAAATTGTTTTCAAGCTTAGTCAATCAAATTGAGGATCATGGTGTTTATTTTAAGCAAAAGAAAGTTGTGGCGGGTAAATTAAGTTTATCTGCTTTACAAAGTGACTGTCGCTATTACTCAATTAGCTTTTAGTACTATCAAACATGATATGGACAATTGTTTATGTATGGGAGAGTCAACGGCGGTCAAATTTCCAAGAGATTTTTGTGCGGCTGTGATTGAAATCTTCTTGTCTAAATATTTACGCTATCCAAATGGAGATGATATCAATTGAATGTTAGAAATGAGTAAATCTGATGGAGGGCCTGGAATATTAGGATCTTTAGATTATATGCAGTGGAAATGGTAAGGTTTTCCAAATGTGTGAATTTATAGCTTCTGTGAAAAAGGCATGGTGAGTGAACAAGTCAAGATTTGTCTGTTTATAAGAATTTTGAATCAAAGCTTATACTGGTTTTTGTTTGATCTCCTTTTATGGCTCTGGAAGTCATTGAATCACAGATCAATGGATTTGGCATGCAAACTTTGCTATGCCAGGTAGATATCCAAACATCAAGGCTTTTGAAAATAGTCAACTTCTTCAAAATTTACAAAAAGGATGTTCACCCACCTGTGATTATCAAATTGAGGGGTTTTGCTGTCAAAATAATAATCATATAGCCAATAAGATGTATCCTTTTCTACCAGCACTTGTCAAGATGGATTGGGGATTTGCATGCTCATGATTGCAATTTGGACATTTATGCTTAGTAGTTTGCTGATGCACACAAAAAATCAAGAAAAGAGTCAGAGGAAGCAATTAAATCACTACATGATCAATTTGTGATAACTGCGGGATCTTATCAAACATGGACACCAGATGATTCCAGCTGGCTACTTTCTATATGCATCATTTTACATCACTTGATTGTTGAAAATGATCAATCTAAAGGAATAAGTGATGGAGTGAAATATGAGCCTGCTGATAATCTTGTGAAACTGATTCATGGTCAAAACAATTTCTTTAAACACTCATTCAAAGGTGTTGTAACAAAAGAACATACTGATCTTCATTTACATTTGAGGGATAATCTTATCAATCATGATTGGGATAACAAGAAGCTTGAGTAGGCTTTTTTGTGCATTTGGAGAACTATGCTTTTTGAACACCTTATCTCTTCAGTACTCTAATCGTGTTGTGGACCTGTATATTCCCTAAGCCACATGTAGTTTCATTTTCCTTTCTCTCGTATTGGTCAATGTGTCATTTTGTTGATGCATTGCTTAAAGTGTTACCATACTCCTAGAGCTATCAGACATCCTAACTCTAGGATCCGCATTTCTTCAAAAACATGTCCTGGCTCTTGAGGAAGATCCAATGTACAGTGCTCTACCATTGGATGTTAACTTAAGGTGACGATAGAGACCCCTTTACAGGAGCATCACAACTTTATCCAATTCCCTCCTCTTCTCCTCACAACAGCACAAATAGATTGTGCTTGTACAACTGTGATATATGATCACAGTCAAGCACAAGCCTTCAAATTTAGACAAGTATTGCAAAAAAGTATCACAAATATGACATATTTTACTTTTTGCAAAATGATGTTATGAAATCAGAATAGTCCACAAGGTGAGTGGGCAATAATCATGAGTGCGCATATCCTCATTTTGGCATCTCAATGGTGTGTATTTCTCAGCCCATTCTCTCACCACACATATCTCACAAATACAATAAGAAATACATAGATTCTAAAGCTTTCCTAAAGGCTTAAAGTGTACCAAATTATTTTTCGAGAGCCTCGCTTGGATAGAGTCCTTAACATCTTGGGCTTGCAGAGTGCTTGCACTCCATAAAGCAGTGTAATCAAGTCCATCTCGTGTACTGTGATCACGAGAATAGTTCAGTAGATGTTTGGTACCTAAGGTGGCTACAGGAGATTTAGCTGCATATGACAAGGTGCCAGATATCAGCCAGACTTGATCTTACAAAGGGCATCTCTCATGTAGCTAGAAGGGGAGGTTCATTAATATATGAAATTGATTCATACCTGCAATCATGCGACCAAGCTCCTCGGCTTTGAGCCACACTTCCTCCTTACCACCTTCAACGACTTGACTCTTGGATACGATTCCAAGCTCAATCGCTTCCGGCGCCCCAAACTCGCGTGCTGTCAGTGCCAGTTCACGTAGCAGCGAATCTTTGCCTGTCGACTTGGGGAGCCGTTGTAGTGTACCAATGTCTGCTGCAATGCTTGCATCTACCTCCTTGATACTGAATCTGGTTGACTTGGAGCATATCCGAATATCACAAGCTGACACGATGTCGATTCCAAGCCCGTAGCAAACCCCGTGAATCGCAGCAATCACAGGTCTTTCACACTCCTGGATGCGAGGAAAAGATAATCCAAGTCCTCAATATCATTCCCTAAAGCCCATGTTGACTACGTGTAAACTTCGAAGCTCACCTCGATGGTCGAGATGGCGGCCTGGAACTCGAGAACATGATCACGTAACATAAGCGCTGACCGAGCAGGATCACTGCCCTACCAAAGTCCCACATTCGCGTGCGTGCAAAGAAATGGTTCACGTCAAGCTGCGTATTAATGCAAGTCCGATCCGCTACATGTTATGGTAGAACGTTGCTAACCACTATGGAAAGTCCGTCCTGTTTCAAATCTAGACCAGCGGTGAAGGCCCGAGTGTTAGAACATAAGATAACAGCCCTCACGTTGGGGTCATGCCGAACGGCTCGAAACTGGGAGCCCATCGATTTCCATAACGTAGATGAAAAACTGGTGTCCGTATCATAGTAGTTGTGCGACACGGTAATGATACAGGAAAAGAAGCAGTGGCTCAGAATTGAGCTCCAGCAGCGGGCCTGTGGATTTCGATTTGCCACATCCTCGACTTACGCACTTCAGTCATCAAATCGAAGTCCAGTGAATATGATTAAACAGTATTAGTGCGATGAATCATACATCTAGAACAGTCGGTGGTCATGGACTTGCTTGAGGGGAGGTCTATCGATTGCAAGACGCAAGAGATGAGGGGATGGCCAATCTGCTTTGATCCCATCGCCTCCATATGATACGCTCGTCATTTCGAATGAATGGATTGGTAAAGAGCAAGTTGATCGATTGATAGATTAGTGGTAACCTGGAGAGTGAACTTGATGGATGTAGTCTCTTGCAGAAAGGACGAAATTTTGCCAAAGTGAATTTGGCGTGCGCGAGGCGTGCCACCGCGCATCTGACTGTGACATACCGCCTACTTGGGACTTTTCATCCAGTCCTTCACAACAAATCTCTGCTCAGCCTCCTCCAAACAATTGGAGTCTCAACCTGTGCTTGAAGATTGACTCTTTCCCAAACTCACTTCAGAAGTGCAACGATCTTGAAGCGCCTTGAATAAGGAGGTCTAGACTTAAGCTCAACTATTCAGTATCCTCGAGTCTTTGAGATACAGATTACCACTCTTTGAATTAGTCATACCAAGAACCATTGGCATTTTTCATGTCAATGGGGGTTCAGGGACCTTTGCTTACTTGGTGGACAACTCTCTGCGTGATTTGTTACTCAAGTCCCGTCTCAGTTTTTTTGTTTGCAACAGCACAGACAGACCGCCGATGCCCGCTCTAATTTGCTCTGATTCTTGTTCACGCAGCTGATTTCTTAACTGTACATGGTGCAGACAAAAGTCATAAGTTAGCTTCATATTGGGGGTTCACAGATTCCTACCTACACGGAAGCGGGCTAATTGTATGCAAGTCGTGGAAGACGACATCACGCTTGACCTCAATAGCTCAAAATTTGTAAAGTTCAATAGGAGGACTCCAGGTGAAATCTCCGAGTAGGAATTTTAAGCACCCTCAGAATTGTGGAAACAAGTCCTAAAACATGGCCAAAGTTTGAAAAGGTTCAAAATCAAGGTAGAACACCAGCGTCGTCAATAAAGTTTTAGCAAAATAACAAATAGCATTGCGGCCAAAAAGAGTGACAAAGACTTGGCGGCTATTGTCGCGAAAAAAATGTTGTACTAATAAGGACTATTGTCTTACGACCGCTAGCCACCTCTGGAGGTCGTCTGGAGGTGGCTCGCAGTCTTATAATCATCCCAAGTTAAGACTTGCAAGCCATCCTTCAAATCAATTCTAGGTACAAAAAAACAACTTGAACCACCCTACTGCTAGAAGGTCTTGTAATACCCAACAAGGATTCCACAGCAAATTCGATTCCGGCTATCCTTCTCCCATCCATCTCTATCCTGGTTTCGAACTCTTCGGCGCAACTTCTTTAAAATATGCTTCTCCATCACTCTCCAATTCCGCTGGTCTTCATAGCTCTCATACAACACCACAATTCTTCTCTGGCACAAGGCAGCACACAGCCAAAATTGGTTGAACAACCTAGAGGCTCGAGCTTTGAGCTGACATGCATCTCTGAAAGAAGTTTGACGAATGTGATGAGAGACACAAACAGGTCATGTCCAATCAATGATGAATTCCAGAGCTTTTCAGGTCAAGGTCCTCAATTTCGATCCGACGGACTGGTCTATAAGTTCGATGCAGTAACCGTCAAGCCAATCCGAAAATCGCCAGACGATGAGAAATCAGATGATTTACATGGATTTGTTCAACAAAGATGTTATCGTGACGAAATCGAAACCACCAATGAGCCTGTTTGTGTCTATCTCAACTCAGGGTTCAACCACGGCCGAGGTATGGTCATCGTCTCGCGCCGATCGGTCCTTGAAGGTATTGTTGAGCGAATTTTCAAGCCCGAAAGCATGCTCGCGAAGGACTTCAATCGGAATCCAGGAAGCTTCAACGTGATAGATATGCCAGAGAAGGGTGGAAAAGGAATCATCGCTTCACAGAAATCTCATGTTGGCGACTTGGTTCTCACTACATATCCGGTTCTCATCATCACGTTCGAAGCAGGATTGTGGAATCACCCACAGGCTTTCGATTTAGAGAAGACGATGGTAGACTATTTACCACTAGAAACTAGAGCGGAAATCGCTACCTTGCATGGTGAAGGTGACACTGAAGCATCTTGGATGGTGTCGGCTATCCAGCGAAACAGCTTTCAGCTAATGTTAGAAGGTGAGCCCTACGTGGCTCTCTTCTTGGATGCCTCGTAAGTCATGACTTTCTAGTTTTGAGTATGAAAGCGCTTACTGATGAGAACGAATCTTGCAAGGCGGGCGAATCATGACTGTCGCCCTAATGTGGTCTATCACACAGACGGAGCCACCTTGAAGTTAAATATGTATGCGGTTCGCGAGATAGAGGTAGGCGAGGAGCTCGTTGCAGCGTGTGAGTGCCAATGCTCACGAGATCTATCATCAAAGACCACTCTCTTGACAGAAACTTCTTTCCACCGTATAGATCTGAACATACAACAGCCAACAGAAACTCGACGCGCCTACCTTCGTCAACATTATGGCTTCGAGTGCCAATGTTCAGTGTGCTCTTTGCCTGAGCATTTGATTGAATTGTCAGACTCTCGATTGAAACAAATTGGGGAACTTTCTGAAGCATTGAGTGACTGGACATCAACATCTATAGCTGATACAAGCATGGCGGAAAATTTACTGGAGCTCTATAAGCTGGTTCGCACTTCATCATCCATCTCTTGATCAACGGCCAACTGACTTAACACCTTTTACTGGTTCTATTTTGTCTTTTTATCTCATAGGAGCGATTGGAGATTTACATGGCCGACGCTTATGCAACTGCAGCTGCACGCTACAATTCTATCAAAGACTGTGACAAAGCAAGGATATATGCTTCCTTAGCTAGTTCCCGCGACATTCGGTTACGCGGTGCGGGCTCTGAGTATTTGGAAGATATGATTAGTTTGAGAGATTCGCCCGAAGCACATTGGACTTATGATCATCGCAATAAGCAAGATATGCATTAGAAATTTTGTCAGTGCGGAGTAGATGGTCGGTCAATTACTTAATACCAACTGGAGACCTTGCACCTCCCACAAAGCTTTGACTAGAGCTTAAAATACCATCATCGTAAATTGTATGTACTGCATCTGAAGGGGATCTGACCTGAGGCGGGTCTATGATAAACTTAGCAAAGTTGAGGTCTATGAATCTTCCCGCTCTGATTTTTCTGAGCCCAATTCTGACACAACTCATAGACTTGTGCGTTGAGCATTCACGTTTAAAATGAGGAGACCACTATGCCTTAGAAGGACGACCAATTCCTTACAAGGCATAGCGGTATCCTCATTTTACATTTTTGTTAGTGTTGAACTTGTATGCCAATATGCTTAAATGCACCTTTAAAAAAAATAAGTTGACACGGACGCGCTAGAAGCTGAATGTGTCCAAGGCGTGGGAGAAGATTATATGAGCTTGAAATCACTCTCAAATGTCAAATTTCTAACAACCCAAGGCTACTCAAGGTATTGGGTAAAATCGGTGTACTTGTTGAATACGAAAGCTTTTGTAAATACCACCCCGACAAGGATATCTTATCCCTGCTCAAATTCTCAAGTCGACATCTAGTCTGGTTTTTATTTCTTCACCGGTCATTAAGATGCTTCTCCAACACTCTTCAATCCCACTGGTCCTTATAGCTCTCGTAAACCGCTACCATGCTGCTGTTGCACAAGAAAGCACGCTCTCGGATCTGGTCGAACAGCCCCTAGGCTCCATATATCAGGCCGCGACATGCATGTCACAACGAAGCTCGAACAGGTCATGTCCGATACACAATGAATTCCAAAACTCTTCAAGCCAAAGCCCTTCATTTAGATCCGATGGATTGGTCTATAAGTTTGATGAGGTCACCGTTAAGCCAATCCTACAATCAACTGATGAATCAAAAGAATTATATGGATTTGTCCAACAAAGATGTTATGATCACCAAACCGAACCAACCGAAGATCCCTTCTGTATCTACCTCAACTATGGGTTCAATCAAGGCCGAGGTATGGTCATTCTCTGCCGTCGATCGGCCCTTCAAGGTATCATTGAACAAACTTTCAAGCCCGAAAGCAGTCTTCTGAAAGAGATGAATCGCAGCTCAGGAAAGTTCAATGTGGTAGATATGCCAGAGAAGGGTGGAAAAGGAATGATTGCTTCACAGAAATATCTTATTGGAGACTTGATTCTCACTTCATACCCTGTTCTCATCTTGACTTTGGAAGACGAATTGTGGGAAGTCTCAGAGAGTTTTGATTTGGAGAAGACATTGGTAGATTATTTACCACTAGAAACTAGAGCTGAAATTGCTACCTTACATGGTGAAGGTGAAACTGAAGTATCTTGGATGATGTCGGTGATTTGGCGAAATAGCTTTGCGCTCACGTTAGAAGATGAGCCCTACATGGCTCTCTTCTTGGACCCCTCGTAAGTCATGACTTTCTAGTTTTGAGTATGAAAGCGCTCAGCGGCTCACTGATGAGAGCGAATTTTGCAAGACGGGCGAATCATGACTGTCGCCCCAATACGATCTATCACACCGATCAAACCACTTTGAAGTTGAATATGTATGCTGCTCGCGAGATAGAGGTAGGCCAGGAGCTCGTCACAACCTGTAAGTTCAGATGCTCGCGGAATGGACCATTTGCTAAACGTCGCACTTGATTGAAATGAATAGATCTGAACATACGACAGCCAACAGAAACTCGACGCGCTCACCTTCGTGAACATTATGGCTTTGAATGTCAATGCTCAGTTTGCTCTTTACCTGAACATTTGATCAAATTCTCTGACTCTCGATTAAATCAAATTAAGAAACTTCTTGATGAATTGATTGACTGGTCATCAACATCTAATGCTAACACTTACACAAGTAGGGCTGAAGATTTACTGGAGCTCTATAAGCTGGTTTGTACTTGATCATCTATCTCTTGACCAACGTTAAACCGAATGGAGGCTCACTTTTTACTGGTTTTGATTTGGTTCTGTATCATAGGAAGGATTGGAGATTGACATGGCCGACCCTTATTTAGCTGCAGCTATGCGCTACAATGCTATCAAAAACTTGGATAAAACAAAGCTATATGCTTCCTTAGCTGTTCTTCATGAAATTCGAATAAGTGGCGTAGCTTCTCAGAATTTAGCCAATATGATCAGTTTGAGAGATTTTCCTGAAGCTCATTGGAGCTATGATTATCGCTATGGGGAATCAATGTATTACAACTTTTGTCAATGTGGGCTCGATGGTAGTTCACTGCTTACTAAGTCGACGTTGTGCATACATCAGGTAACTTGATGCCTAAACGCTATACTGGTTGTAAAAAAGTTGCCCAAAAAGGAACGCATCGTGGCCGCATATGATGAAAAAGATGCCCCAATACACTCTGACAAATAAATCTATTACCCTTGCAATGTTTTTAGCACAATTTATGCAGATACCAAAACAAAACCAAACAAAGAAACCAACCATCGCCTTTGTACATGAAGTGTGATTGACATCCACAGAGTAAACTTTACCCTTCCTCAATTTCTTCACCATCCTGGTAATGAATATCTTCATCATCTGACATTACCTTTTCAGCATGATCTTGAGCTGTAATTGTGCATATTATAAAGAAATAGGAGCAGTGATCAGTAACGCTTTATAAACTCTGGTAAATGGTGATCATACTTACGTTTTTCTAATCTCATAGAGAGTGCGCCTTTTTTGTTTTCAGCCAGTGTGGGTGGTAAGACTCCTTTCGGATTAAGAAAACTAATCACCCCAATCAAACGTCAATCCATGCATCAGTTATAAGATAGAAATCTATTAAGCAGAGCCATAAAGCAAATCGAATCTCAACTCTAAATCCCCAACATTACAAACATCAACATAATTGATCCAAACCCCAAAGCCATCTTCTTTTTGTTCTTCTTCCCACATCTTTTTATACAACATCTCTTTTTTAAACTTTTCAATCACGTCTATCCATTTTTGAGGATCTATAGTTTCTCTAATTAAGTCATGATCTTCATTAGTTTCTATTCCTGATTTATTAGGATTCGATTTTTGTTTTTGTGTTGAAATATTCCGATTAGCTTCTAAAACTCGTTTGTTGTATCCGTCGAAATGTGGATGGTGTAGGATTAAACCAAGGCCAGGTGCTTTGGGTATTCTCACTCTCACTGGTCCATATAATTCAGGAATGAGCGTACACGGTGTACGAGTTCGACAGAGTAGAATGATAAGCCCAATCATTTTCCGCTGTAATGAAGAATGACATCAGTACGAGCATAGATGGTCCGACAAAAACGCAAAGAAAGATCTTGGTGATCCCATCATTGAAGTCTTAACTTACGATCTGATGTAGCATGAAACTTTGACCATAGAATTTGACCGAGATCCATTCAGTAGCCGGATCACCTTCCGATTCACCACCCACCACAAAGGGATCCGAAACTGTCATCTCACGTATAATTCGAATCGCACTACGATCCTTAAACTCTTTCCCAACCGTAAAATTATGAAAATTATGAGTGCCTTTGAACTTTTGAACGCTTTGTTTTAATCTTTGTAACATTGGTAATGAAATTCTATAAGACGATTTTTTGTGTATCACACTCGATTTGAAATTTGATAAAGTGCCTGATGGATTGGTGGTAGATGCGATTTCAAGTTCTGGTTCGTAATCTTTCCACCATAATGCTTCTAATTCTTCTGGATCATAATCTTCTGACCATTTTTTTCCTGAGGGTCCTGTTTCAATTGAATCTAACCTTTTGTATAATGCCGTACCTGGTTTAGGTGGTAAAAATAAATAGGTGGGTAATGAATATTCATATGTTCTTGAATCACATAATGTTCGAGCATGAAATGAATTTTGAACTCGTTCTAAACCCCAGAGTCTAATCTCTTCAGGCAAAAATGAATTGATGTGCTTCATCAGAGGAAGTGAGTGGTGCTCGGGATCCCCACACGTCTTGGTTTCAGATGATTCCGCAGTGATATCCGAACTTTCTTTCAGGCTGGGCGGATCTAGGATCAATTTTAAACAGATCAAATTACATCCAGCGTGAACATTTGCATCGGTTCTTGCAGCCCTTTGGAGTCCGACCTTTATCGTACATTCAAAAATCAAAGTCAGAACTTGGGATGATGGTCAAGTTTTACAATCCATATAAAAAAATGATTCTCACTTTGTTGGGATGAGCCGAGTTATCTTCACTGACACATCCTGCCTTTACAAACGCTTTGAAGACTTCACCTTCAATAGTCTTCATTCCAGGATTAACTTGAGATCCTTGATAACCTTTACCATAATAACCTAACAAAACTGCCACTTTACGTTTAGGTAGTCTTTTCTCTTTAGAGCCAGATGGATGACCAGTTTCATGAGTTTTATTGGATTTGGTCTGATGTCGATCATCTTCTTGCCAATCGCTCTTTCGTTTATGATCGGCACGTTGACGTGAATGTTTATGTGAAGAACCTTTTTGGTTGTTAGATTTATTAGATGGCTCTCCTTTGCTTGGACCTGCTTTAGTCTTTTGAGGTTCGCTGGATGCTGAAGTATTGGGGGGTAAAGATTCGCTTCCTGGCTGCGTGCTTCGAGCTAGAATGATATCAATATCTGATTTGAATCGCACTGGGGCAGATGGGGTGATAGCTACTGGTGGGGCTGAATTGCCTGCCAGTTGATTTGGCTCGGTTGGTGGTACTTCTGACATGGTATATGGTCGCTTTAAAAATTAAATATTCAGCTTGAACATCAAAGTGGGGATCACCTCGACCAACTCAACGCGCCAGATCAGGTTTTGTACCAAAAATCATCACCCGATCAGCCGAGCTCACTCCGGGCACGGACATCAGTACCCGTGAAACACCGCCACGGAAGGCACTCAGCCCAAGTCTCCGCAGGCAGCCCGCAGGCCGGGCCGGGCCCGAGTTGCTTCAAAAAGGGGTGCGGGATGAACAAACAAAACAAATTACGGGGCCAACTAGATGGCTGCCTTGTCTAGGTATACTAGTCCCTCTCTTTGACTTGTTTAGATAGTGTAAACTGCAATGAAGCAATTAAGCACTTGGAAAAAAAAGTGTTTGGAAGGCGCAGGTCATTTCTTTTGTCAGATTGAGATACAAAATAATAAAGGGTTTTGAACAGTTCTGATTGTTCAAAGTAAGGACAGCTTGTCCCAGCTTTTGAGGAAAATTGGTGTCTCAAAATTGAATGGATCCAAAGTACTGAAGCTTTGTAGCTGATATAAAGAAACACATGGTAGAATAAACACTCAGAAAACAGGGAGTGACAACAGGCAAAGTGTTGTTGGTCAGACTTAGGGTAGGCTGAAGAGGGCTGTGAGGGCAAGTTTCAGGTTGATTTTTTGCACTTTGGGGTTTTGACTCATCATGATCTAGCACTCCATTTACACAGCACTTGCAAAACAGTTTTTTTTCAAGTGCATTGGGCTTAATTGCATGAAACACTAACTGAACAAGTTGAGAAAAAGGAACTGGTTTACCTTGGAGAAATTGGCCATCTAGTTGGAGCAAAAGGTGTTGTTGTCACTGGATGTTAAGATAATATCATCTTTCACCCTTTATTTTGAAAAAACAACTATTTAGATGTAATTATGTCCATTTGCATGAATATTTTTTTTTGGTTTCACACCTATGTGCAAGCACATCCTTTTTGGGGAATTGGTGGATTGATTTTGAATAACAGAACTTTTGTTGAGTTTTCATTCAACTGCTTCAATGTTAGTATCCACCAAATTCTGTAACAAGATTTTACAGTACACTGTATCTGATATTTATCAATCTATCCCAGTCAGATCATCAGCCCTGGCCTTGTAAAAACCAAAATACAGTTTGATTTCCAATTCTGTGGAAAAAAAACTAGGGCTGTGACCCGGCCCCGGCCCCGGCCGGCCGAGTCTGCCCAACGTCTTTCCAGAGGCACACGGTACGTGCCCTGACACACGTGATTGAGGTGACAAAAGCCCTGCGGGCGCCTCGGGCGGGGCCGGGCCGCTCAAGGCCTGCTGTACTTTTGCTGTGTTGACAAAATCTGTCTTTCTAAAATTCCTCCTGCAGCTCTTTTTGATTTTGATGTGGGCTCATATAGCTTCTACAAACCATCACAGACACATCAACTTGCAATAAAGAACAAAATAATCACTGTATTGGCTGGTTTTAGCACCTATAATAAGGTCAGGGCGTGCCCTGGTTGGCCCTGAGCACTTTCAGGAGGCCTTCGGGTCTACTCAGGGTCGGGCGAAGCCCCGGGGCCGGCCCTGAAACTTCAGGGCCGGGTCACAGCCCTAAAAAAAACCAAGCCACTGGGCCTTGTATATAAATGCCCTGTATGGTTTCCACATTGTGTAAATTTTGACCCTGACCCTCCAGATATAGACTAAGACAATCACATATGCCGTCTAAATCCACCCAAAAGGGAAGGTGTCAGAACCTTTCCACATTAGGTTTTGCAAATCAGACCATTTGAACCTTTGTGTCACTCAAGGTACCCTCAAATCAATTCTCAATTGCCTCAACATCTTCATCTTCATGCATATGCAAGCCCTCAAGTTTACCAATTTTTACAAGCTTCCAGGAAAGTAGGCATACACCTGCTTTCCTGTCATTTGGTGTCTGTACAGCAACACATTTTGGTCTTAGTTCACAAGGCCCAGTGCTGATGCTCTTACATGAGAATTTATCAGCGGTTTAAGTGGTTGGTTTGTATATAAGAGCCCTCTCAATGGTAGTATCTGCCAAACTCTGTAACAAGATGTGACAGTACACTGTTCCTGTTGTCAATTATCAGTGATTTTTGGGGGGGTTGATTCATTCTTTTTCATCTTTTGATGGCTTGTCTTTTGCTTTGTGGCTGATCTCCTTGGTCCCTGTCTTGTAAATAGGAACAGAAATACAAATCATTTAGTCTATAAAATGGAATCTGCTAGGCATGTGAAAACTTTTGGTAAGTCAAGGAGTTTGTTGACATTGTTCCAGTTCACTTTTTTTCTTGTTGAGCTTCTTTCTGAATAGTTTTCTTGCTCTTGAAAATAATTTGCAATAAAGAAGATAATAGTGGCTCTCAAACTAGACCTGGTTTCAAAAAACCCAGTTGACCCAATTGACTTTTTGGCTGTGAGATGTCAACAAATTTCAAGTGGATACACAAAGCTACCACCAAAAAGCAACTGGGTCAACTGAGTTTTCTTCAGACCAGGTCAACTTTGAGAGCCACCAATGGTGAGTATTTTCCCTGATCTTACAAACTTCACATAGCCAAAAAATTCTAGGCAGCCCAAGGCCCGCCAGCTCTTCCTGCTGGCCAGGCCGGGCCTTGACAAAGCCATACGCTATGACATGTCTTCCATTAATCTTTCTTGTCTTGACTCTTGAATTTTGACACATGAGCTCAGAACAGATCCACTGTGTCCTTGTGGCAGTCTCTCAACAATGAGCACACACAGACTGCCTTTGAGGCACAAAGGCAACTTGTATGCGCTTGTCAACAGGCAAACACCACACAGACATGGTGATCAGAAGCTATGGCAGTCTTGATAATAAATGTTGCCTGTTCTTTTTAAGCTTGAACTAAAAATGATTGACCTAGATTATCCCCTCTCAAACCTGACCCAATTTTGAGAAAACCCAGTGGACCCACTTACTCTTTGGCAGTAACTTTGTGTATCAAGTTGACATTTGTTGACAGCTCCCAGCCAAAAAGTCAACTGGGTCAACTGGGTCTTTTGAAACCAGGTCAGGTTTGATGACCTTATGGTATTCTGAAGCTCTGAATAACCAACACTGTGTTTTCCAGAACCCCAAAAGGCTTTTAGTGTTCTAGAAAAACTTATCCGGAAATGTGCAAAACATTATTTGTATACCCTAAAATTAATGTGCTAACTTTCAAGCCTCCTCCCACCTTTCTACTGGTTGCAACCATACCAAAGATTGTGCATTTCCCCAATGATTGTGATCTTTCACAATCCTTGCACCCTTGAAGTCAACTACAGATCTCATGTAAAATCTAGGTGAATAAGTTTTAGTGTAATTTTAAAAAAATAAAAACAAGCAGGCAACATTTATTCTCAAAACTGCTGTATCAATGTGAGACTACAGACCCAAAAAAAATTTGGAGACAAAACCTTCAACAATATAAATCAAAAGAATCCAAATCCTGAATGACCTTAACTTAAAAATCCATTCCCAAAGAAAAAAATAAAAATCAATTTCTCAAAATCCAAACAACCTAAACAAAAACCAAAAAAAAAATCAAAAAAGAAGTAAATTACGTATGATTTCAATATGCAACAAACTGCAAAACCTATGTTTTTTAAAAACCAAAAAAAAAATCTATTTCTACTATTTCTATCTATACTTCTTAGAGAAAAAGAAACCTTTTTATAAAATTGTTCATATAAAATCTTATTTATGTCACCCAAGAACCCCCCACCGCGTAACTTCATCAAACTGAACCTTGATTCATTCATTCAATTTCACCCTTTTCCCGTCTATACAATTCAATGAACTTTCATTTCATTGTATTTTAAAAAAAGGAAACCAAACCAAACCAAACCCATTTGGTTTATTCTTCATCAATTTCTTCGTCTCCAATCTTCCCCAACATCCTAGCCCATTCTAACCCCCCCAAAAGAAGGCTGATCAGTATCTCCATCCAAAAAAAGATCTACAGTGAGAAAAGTATGAATAACAAACCTAAAGCAAGTCTCAAAACATAAGCCTCAATATCCGGTTTATTTCCAATAGTCTCAGACCACCTAAGTCCATCCTGTGCAACTTTCTTCAACTCATCAGGTCCATCTCCCATTCTTCTTTTAGATTTAAACCATTTGATAGGAACCCAATCTCCTATCAATCTTGTTAATCGGTTTTCATGTTTTTTCATTTCTTCTGTTTCTTCTTTCGATAAACTTGGTTCAGGTAAATGTAAGAAATATCCTAATAAATTATACATCTCTTCATACCCTACACTTAATGGAATATAACTACAAAAACCAAACCAATCCAATCAATTTATCTACAAACACCCAATGCTTTTTCAAAAAAATCGAGACTTAACTGTACCCAAGGTTCGATCCAATCAGTTAATGCATCTTTAAAAATCGTCGATTTAATCACTCCAGATCCCATAGACATCAAAGCCACAAACCGTCCAGAAAAAGCCATTCCATCTAAATCTAAAATCGCTTTATACCTTGCCATTTCACTTAATGGAACTGGAGCTTTTAAAGGATACAAAGCTGCTGTTAAATCACATATATCTGGATCTAAATTCCAAAAAATCCAAAAATCTCATTAGGTTTTTCTCCTTTTTTCCTTTTTGAAGTGCTCAAATCGGGTTTTTTTGAGATTTCAATCTTACCTCCACATCCTGTATAACCTGTGAATCCTACATCTAACCATGCTTGATTTAAATCCGAAATAGTTCTTTTCATATGATAAAGTAATCCGTTCGGTTGATCTTGAATCAACAAAGACTTTAATGATCTTGACATACTTTGAGCTAATCTAACAAATCGATGTCTTTGATATTGTAATTGATGTCGACTATTGAACCAAAAAGCAAGCAAAAAATCAGTCAACAATCAGAGTTGAGTGTTCTGAGAGCTTTGATGTTCAGTTCTCACTTACGGAGGTGAATTTCCTCCTCCGGTCTGTAAAAATATTCGAGAATTCACACATCATACAGTTTTGAATCGAAAAAAAAGAAAATCTGATCAAGTTCTAGAAACACTGTGATATCCATTTGATAGATGATCATCAAGAACCCAAAAAGATGAAGAGTCTTACAGTTTTACCTCTCCAAAACAATTTATCATGTTTCTGATCCCATGAAATGGTCTCATTGGCTTCAAATGAATATCTTGCATCATCACCATAATAGAAATTGGATGGAACTATTGAAAAAAAAGGTGAATATCGTAGTTGTTTTTAGATTCAGATGAAATAGATTACTTACTCAGGATGTCTGTATAGGTAACATTTGAGATAGACACTGATAAGCTATTAAGCGGGTATGAGAGTAGTGAAAAAGATTGAACTAACCTGAGAAACCATCGATTTTAGAAGGACTAAAGACCGGATAAAGAGCCTGTAAACCTCTCCAATCCTATATGAAAACCCCAAAAAGAGACACATGATCAATTACCATTTTTTTTCAATGAAAAGCATTCCAAACAACTTACACTAAAGAATGCACCTTGAATTTGATGTAATTCAGAATTCGAACAAAGATCAGAATGCATTAAACCTTTATAACCAATCTCAACAAATTCAAATTGTTTAGATTCGTTAAGTAATTGTTGAGCACTTGTGAAAGTTTGACCAGAAGAAACTGTAGGGATAGATTGGATTGGATCGTCTTCTTCTTGATGATGATGATTGTTATCGTGTTGGTTTAAATCTAGATCTTCATGAGCATTAAAATCTAGTTCAGATTGACTTGATCTTCTTTTGTTTTGTCCGGTTTTAAGATGTCCATTAAACCCAATCGAAAGAGTTTCCAATTCACTCAGATTATAAACTTGATTCATTAAAGCTTTCTTTTTATCTTTCAAGGTCGATTCACCTTTTAAACTTGATAGTTTCTTTCGGGCTGATGATTCAGGTGGACATGATTTTGCATACAGTTCCCATGATGATCCTGATCCAATGAAATTAGGTGTAGGTAATAGATTCGTTAAGTTTGGTTTCGGGATTCGATGATGGTATGGGATTTCGAGGGATTCACTTGATAATGATAAATCAAATTCTCTTAATGTGTTCGGATGATCTTGCCATGGGACTATCACTCTTGGTTCGGCTAATTCTGAAACTGCAAAGATGGTACCGTCTGGAACGACTGTGTGATGAAAGTCAAAGATTTGTTGAGGTCATTAAAGATCACTTGAGAAAAGATTAGGTTGGGTTTAAGGAAACCGAATAAATGACGTACGACTGATATGACGTTGTAACATGGATGCTAAACCTTCTACTCTTTCTATACCTGGACCATAATGATCACGACTATAATGTTTGCCATCACCTCTGTAATTTTGACCCTGAAACTCGGCATGATGAGCTGTGATCTGAACAAGAAAAAAAGCATAAAGCACTGATCAGCTTTGAAAGGTTTATGATGATCAAAACGAAGTAGAAAGTCAAAGTTTTTACATTCAAAAGTGAAAACGTTGGCATCTTTGAAATCTCAATCGTTCTTCTGATCAATTCATCTGAATCCATCGTTCTAAAAGGTTTCAAACTGTTCATCAACTCATCAAATTCATCTACCAAAAGCACTCCATCATTCGTGACAATCTTAAACCATTCTTTCATTCCTTTAGGTGGTTCTAAATTATAACGAGATTTATAATTAGATTTAAATGATTTGTAATCTGTAGATTGAGCTTCTAATCTTTTTTTCCATCTTGATCTTGCTAATTTTAGTTTGGTTTGAATGGGATGTGGTGGTAAGAGATGATCAGATGGAGAAGTTTCGTAGGAAGTCATGGTGGTCTTTAGCATCGAAGGATGATGGTTTGATAGTAAAGTAAAGAGTTGATGAAATAAAAAGATCCAGGTTGAGATGATTAAGAATCGTTTGATGGATCTTCTTGACTTGAGTTTACCTGGTAATGTTTTGGTTAAAGTTAATAATCTAGCCATCCTTGCTTTCTTTCTTTCCTTTCTTTCCTTTCTTCTCTTGTTCTTTGGTGATGGTGAAGGTGAAGGTGAAGGTGATGGTGGTAGTCCTTGAGAATGAAATCAGAAAAAAAGATTGAATCTGAACCACAGATCCAAATCTACATTACACTGTATTACGCTGTACAAACAACAGTTTCACCACTCACCACTCACTCACTCACTCTCACTACACTCCAAATCACAAAATCATCTTTGGACTTTGTGTCAACAAATTCTTATCAACTTGCAAAACAAACACAAAAAAATCTCAAAAACCACCAAGAATCTAATCAATATTTATGTACAATCTTTAATTCTAAACATACATAGATCTCATATAATCATCATTTATTCCAACACTAGCTTTCAAATGATTCAACAAATTCCAATTAAATCCATCATCATCATTCAACTTATCTTCCTTTGAACTTTTACATTGAATATTCATTGTTTTTGAAACGTATTCTACAACGGCTTGGGTTCCTTGGATGGGTGGGTGGGTTGGATTGCTTCTTGAATGGCTTTCGTATAACTCTGTTTCTGTCTCTGATTGGTTTGGTAAAAGAAATAGAATTGGTTTGGTTTGGATTATTTCGGCCTATTTTTGAATTTAAATCATTTTTTTTTGGAAAATTAGAAAATTTATTATCAAACAAGGGGTTTCGAAAAAAAAAACAGGATTTTTTCGAGATTTTGCTCAACTTACTTGTAGGAAAATTGCTGCATCTATTCCTTGAATTAAATTCGGGATTGAAAAGTTTTGAAGTCTTGTATCCTTTTCAAGTTTTTCTTCTTCTTCTTGATCATCATTATTATAAGAACACAAATATTTAACACTTGAGATCTCTTGATGAATCGAACTGATATAATTAGATATTTCATAACTCGAAACAATAATAATCTTGCCTGTTGGGTTTAGTTTTTTGAAAATCTCTTGGCAGAGTTTGGTTTGTAAGTTTAATGAAATCAATGTACGATTTGGGAAATAAACAATCCGATTTTTTATATCTAAATAAACATAAGGTGTTTGTTTATAATTTAGTGTGATTAGTAAAGGGGGTTCTAGTTTAAGAGATTGACTGATCGGTTTAGTGATGGAACCTATTAAGATTAACAATGGTTTTCCAAATTCGATCGGTTCAGGTAACCCAGTTTTCCATTCAAATTTAACTTCTTTTTCTTCATGACGCTTTTCTTTAGGTTTGTTTAGTTTTTCAGTTGGGTGGTTTAAGTTTAAGTTTTCTGTGTTCTTGATCGTATCTGTCCATTCGTCATCTGATGAATCGGATTCATATGCATATGATGGTGCTCTTGAATTCCATTCTGATTCTTGATTGTATAACTGATGGTCAAGAGTGAGATGGTCAGTGTTTGTTTCTTGAATTGGTTTGTGTTTGATTTGAGAAATAGTGATGACTTACCATCTTTCCAATCTCTGTTGCAATACTCCTTCTGGTTCTGGTTCTCTTTCGATCATTCTCACTTCACTACATACACTCTCAACACATGTAATCAGTATGTGTAAATAAGATATGTAAACATTTCAACCTGTAAACTCGTTACTCAACATCGGTGGACTCAATCAAATCTTGAATGAGCTCACCAAGGCCACAGTGATAAGTTCAAAGAAGACAGTTGTAAAGGATCTTTGAGACATATACTGAGATGCTGAAGTCAACATCAAGAGTTTATGAAGATTTCTGTTTCGTGAAATTAAGGTTTCGATCCTTGTGAATATGATCAATGAAACAAGTGTTGTGTCTTTATTCTTGACTAATTTGATGAAGTTCTGTTTCAAGATTGGAAGGCCTTGAATTTGATGATCTTGAATTGATGGGATCAAAATTCAGAATGATCTTTCATCTTCATTCAATATATCACTTTCATCAAGATACATATAGACTTGAGAATTTTTTGATTTCTTTCCATGTCTTTCCCTTTGCAGAAAGAGTTTGTGTATTGACTTGATTCAGCTTTTTAATATTTCTCATACCTTGGTCCACGTTTGACACAAGAAATGTTAATTGAGATCTCATGAATGTATGTATCAAACAAAGAAAGTGCAAGAGGTTCTGGTGGAAGATAGATGTGAAAGAGAGAGGCTCAAGGTATTTATTACTAGATGATCTAACAATTGCAATTTTTTAATTTTGCAATAGCCACTCACAATTGATTGCATCCACCCTCATGTTTTTAGATAAGAGACCAACAGGATGAAAAGGAAAAGGTCATGAAACAAGATCATTTTCTTTTGATAATTTTGGATATTGAAAAGCTTAAGCACTCCTCTAGTCTATCTTCCTGTTTTCTAGCTTGTCATGCCTAGTTTGAATTGAAGCTAAGCTTTGAAATTCAGACCTCTAGAGATGATACCAACAGAGGCTTTGTAGGTATTGCAATAGTTCAAATTGGATTTAATTTTTTTTATTAATTCTTGTTCTGGACTTCACCAAAGTCAGTACAAGTCAATTAGATCATACAACAAACAAGAAAAGTTCTCATCCAGATTAGATTCAAGAAGTAGGTTTCGGAAGTCGTGATTTGTAAGACCAATGCTCCTCAGGATTTTGTTCTAACTTCAAGACAGTAGGCCAATCAGACCATCTAGGTCCAGCAGCAATCAATCCATGAGTCAAAGCCAATGCTGCGTAAATCTTTGCTTGATCTGTGTCTCCTACAGCATTATAAGCTACTGATGCTCTAGTATAAGCCTTATAAATCGTGATATCTAGTCTTTCCTAAAATCAAAACCTATTGTTAATGAAATGAAAGTATAAATAAACTAGAATGAAGACGAACCAGCTTGTAAAGATTGATGAGTTGTTCAGCCATACCAGGTGTAGCAATAGAAGTAGGAGTGTAATTGTCTAAAGCTGCGTTTAGTTTTTGGATCTTTTCGATATGATAATCAGAAAGTTTAATCATATGTGATGGTAATGAGCAAATCGAACAAGTACAATCGAATCCATAATTCTTTTGTAAGTTTTGCTTTCGTTCATCTCTATATGTACTAGTATCAATATCTTCAAAAGAAAACAAGTGTACCCAAACCATGTTGATTTTGTTCATGAGTTCCTCAAGGATACTTTTTTCTTTGAAAGATTGTTTAGGGACTTACAACTATCGGTGAGTTCTTCACCAGGTGCAATATCCCGTAATGCGTGCATGTGTAGTGTTAAAGTGACACCATCAACGTAGTAGGCGGTGTTGGGTCGACAATCATGATTCAGGCGACTGTGAAGGTACAGATCTGGTTATTCATCTCGAACCAAGCCCCAAAGAGTTTTCGTGAAATCATCACGTACGTAGGCTGAAAAACAATGGCTCCGAAGCGATATTCACGATCATTGGCCTTGAGAGGGATATAGAAATTGTTACGCTTAAAGGTAGATCTGATCCAGTCTTCTTGAGTATCTCCTTCACCGTGTAGAGTAGCAAAAGTAGCACGAGTCTCGAATGGAAGATAGTCCACTGCTCTCTTCATGATCTTATTGATATCTTTTCGAGCAAAGACCTCTGGCTCGCTCAACATGATGAACACAAGGTGTTCGCTCACCACTGGGTCGCCTGGATAAAACCTTCGTGAAGCGACTGAACCCTTTCCACCCTTTTGAGGCATGTCCACCACCTCAAACTTCTGCTCGCTAGTCTTCTCCTGGCCCGTATGAGCTTTATCGGTCTTGAAGATCGTAAAGGTTGTCAATATCTCTTTGAATATAGAGGGGTAAGACAGAAATACCATGCCCCTTCCATGATCAAATTTATAGTTGAGATAGATACATATTGGCTCCTGAGCATCGTCATCTTCATGAGAGTAACACTGCTGTTTGACAAATCCATCAAGGTCATTCAATTCCGATGATTCGAGGATTGGTTCAACATCAACCTGGTCAAATTTGTAAACCAGTCCGACTGATGATTTCAGGGCCCTTGAAGACCTGGCGTCTGATGAACCTAAGCGCGTAGCGTTGAGAGGAGTGTTATGTCGGCCCGCATCTGGCACTTTCTTGAGCAAGGTCTTTTCGGAGCTAGACGATATGCAGGCCTGCTGGGTGTATATCGAAGTTTCAGGCTTTATGAAGATAGATAGCGAGGTTGATTGAAGCTGATTGTTACAACGACAATGTTGAACGAACTCAAATACGAGGAAGTGTGTCAGGAAGAAAGCTCCAATTTGCATCTTCTGAGATCGCAATGATGTTGTAATGTGTGTTTCGACAAAAAAAGTTGACAATGAAGGCTAAAGCTACTTCCGAATTCAAAGTAGCTATGGTCTGGCCGGCAGTGATGTGAAAACTGAAGACTACTTCAAGGACTCTTATAGCGACAAGAAGTGTTCGATGTCTTTGAGTGTCTCCATTGCCGTCAATTGACGATCGAACGAATTGACGATTGATTAAATGCAAGATATGTGCGCAAAATCGATCTCACTCCAGCCAATTCGTATGCGATCTTCACAACCGAACGACATCACTTTTCGAAACCGAGGTTGGATGTACCCGCTTAACATGAAGTGGCGATGATTGCTAAGCCCTCGAGTAGGTATGACGAGGATTTTGGAACTGCAAGACAGGAAACGTAGCTGGTAACAATTCTCGATAAAAGCTCGCAATCATCAACAGCCAATGTTTGACCCTGCGAACGTGATTCTGCAAAAGCCGATGACGTAATTTGAGGTTTCAAGTGACAGAGTTGTAATGGAGATGATGAGACTGCGCTTAGGAATGGATGGTTGCGAACCAATATCATCGCAAAGGACGACTCCTCATAACATCACGAGATGACCTTTGGGTTTCCCGAGCAGATTTCATAGTTGTTGTGATGTCAAAAAAATCATGGTGTGCGTTGTCTCAAGAAAGAAGGACCCGGAATGAAAGCGATTTTGGTTGTGAAACATCGTAACGTCACAAGTTCACTGATCGATTATTTTTAGTTCACCACTCGATAAAGCTTTTGTCTACTTGAAGTACATTTTTGCGAAGTCAATCAATGGAACAATCCATCTGCTTCGCACCACTGCTGATGCTTATAATCGTGTGGATACTTCCACGGCCGCAGAATTTTTTAAAATTACAAATATGATATCGGCAAAACTGGAGAATATACTTACTGTTTACTAAATCCTCTGGATATCTCGATTGTAGAGGAACAAAAGAGACAGTAACCATAACTTTACAAATTGCTTTACAGACGACTGTTATACATAGATTCTGGGAGATAATCAAGCCAAAGCGGTCTACCGAGTAAACTTTAAACTTCAGCCATTGTAGCTGCCCTCTTATTGTAGAGTATCCTTTTAGAGAGCATTGCATAATGACTGATACTTTCAAGTGTCCATGGTGAGAGTGATTCGTGCTCGATCCCTGGTAATCTAAAACCAGAATGACCATACGTATTTTTCACGGATGCCTGAGCCTTGAGATAACATATCTTTTGAAAAACTTGATCAGATTTACAATTGAAATTGCTTTGGAATCAGAGTGAAGAACCTCTTACCTCCCGAAACGCAACATCATAAGGAAAATATCCTTCGGCATTCGAATTTGAAGCTGCACATGAAGCCTACATGTTGTTGAAGCAGAAAAATCGATCAGCAGTAGAACCAGCTTCTCCAACAAAGATAATTATTGGATATATAGGATGACATACTTTTAAGAGTGCATACCCATCAGGACCCAATCCATTGAGATATCCTTCTTTTCCTTGGTGAAACGCGTTTTCTTCTGATTCAGAAACAGGGCCAACTTGAGCGAAGAACTGTTTCTCGGCTTCACTCTCGTTGTACGCATTTTTCCAACTTAATCGCAAGTGGTAGTTGTTCAAGATTGGCCTCATTCTGGTTGAGGTATCATTCGTTTTTTTAGTTTAATGGTAGGAAGCTTGTGTGGTTCTAAAAAATTAGTTGATAGGATTCACTAACAAAAGCATTTTCTGTTTACCCATTTCTGGTACATAATGTTCTTCTTCTTGTATGGTTTGATCGTTTTCCTGTTGGATTTGCATCTTGGCTGTCATCTTGGCGTGTTCCTTTTGTAAGTCCTGTGTATGTGTTCATTTGATGAGGCGTCAGGTTAACTTCTATAGCGGTAATCATAAGAGAAAAGCGAAGATATGAAAACAGAAAGAAAAAAAACTCAAACCGCAATCTCACGCTGCATCTGTTTAAGTACTCCATTCCACACTCCGGCTGCCCCCCAAGCTGCTAGGTGCCCCGGCTTTGGGTGCGGCTTATCAAAGCTCTTCTTCTGGTCGGAAAAAAGTCTACGTAGATCATCATCCGTGTCCAGGGCACGGCGCCCGTGAGTAGCATCGTCATATGATTTGTTATTATGTGTGTATCGGTCAGAACCTGCAGTGACTGTCTCGTATACAACCTCTGTATTTCAACATTCAGTTTGCCAATCAGAAGCTGATATGAACTTTTCAAGTAGATGATGACAATGAAATGAAATTCAAAGATAATTACCAAGAACATATGGCTCTGAGCTAATGCTTTCCGGCCTCTTGTACGGTTTGATACATTTTTTTTCATTTCGAGCCAAGCTTTTCTGGAAGAAGGGAGTGGGAGCGTAGCCATTTTTCTCTAGCTCAACACCAAGTTTGGCTAGCTCCTTTTGGTATCGTTGAACTATCTCATAGTCCTTTGTTTTCTTGAGAACGAGCCCTGATCAAGCCCATTGCAGTTTCAGAACCTTTAGCGTGGTATGCAAGACAAAGTAGTACCTGGAAGGATAACTTGACATACCCTTTTTGGCAGCATCGAGGCAAGTAACATAGATCCATCCCATCGTAAGTGTCAAGTCATTATCAGCTCCTAGTATATAATGACAGCTTTCGAACAAAAAACACATTAGTCTTATAGGCAACAGCAATTGGGTTGAGTGATCACCATCATTGCAATAAAAAATTGACTCAACAAATCATACCGCCCAGAATATGCAGAAAAGCTAGAAGGAGTAAACAGTTCATCGATGAGAATTTCCTGAGCCTTTTTGACAAATCTTTCTGGGTTGCGACGGTAGGGCTCTAAAAGACTATCTCCAATTGATCCTGCAAGCTTGGCTGAATGCAAAAGATAAAATCAAATGAAATCAGAAATCAAATGGCTTCGGAAAAGGCATATTGAGGATAGATATCAAGTCACGATTAGCTTACAATCAAACCAGTCTTTTTCTTTTATCTCGTCATAAGCATCCGGATCCGCATTTTGGAATGGATCGACTAATCTCTTATCCCAAGTTACAGCAACTTGGTCGCCTGTCATATATGAAATTAAAATGTAAGGTTGACGATTAGCTTGCCATGATTTCTCAAAACAGTCATATCGGAAGAAATGAAGCATTCATATGCTTCTGCTTACCATCATAGTCACCTATTGAAGAACGATGTTAATGTCAGTTGCATCATCTCATGCACGTAGATATGATGACTTACCTCCAGACAGAAGGCTAAGTACAGCCCTACCCCCACGAGTTGAACAAACGAGAACATCAAAGTATAAACGCTGTAATTGCTCGTTTGCGACCAATCGTACCTTTTGAATATCAATCGGCTAATTGATATGGTGTGCATACAATTCAGAACAGCTTCTGTAACTTGCCCGAAGGATAGATCAAGACAACTTACAGCCGCACACGGTGATCTCCATATCAAAGCGTGTCGGGCCAAGATCCCATGTCGGGTTCCTGTAGAGTCTCTGGTTCATTGCAAACAAAATATTAGCCTTTTTAAAGGTGCCTGCGAGTGTCAAAGCTAAAAGTACCTGAAAGACGAAAACTGTAGGAAAGCTTCGCCCTCTTTTAGGGTTCCGGTACTGTAGAGGATGGATCAATTAGCTGTGTGATGGTTCTGTCTACCCTGCCAGTCGGAACGCTCACGGATCTGGAATCGCATAAACATAACAGCTGAGACTGATAGGAATACTGAGACGTCGCTGCATGTTTAATACTATCAGCCCTCAGGACCAGAGACAAGGTACCTTGGCTTGAAATGTGTTTTCTTACCATTTGAAGTAACTTATGAGTTTTAACCCATCTCAATTTCTCAACCACCAGCCTGTTACTCGCCGAAAAGCCAGCCTCAAGCAGGCATATAAGGTATTCTAGAATATCGGTCGGTTGCAATGAGAACTGTTGAAGCTTGTCCGAGGTTTGGTCTGAAATCCGACTTTCTAGGGGCAAGGTCTTGCCAAATGTCCGATTTATGGTGGGATCGTGATCAATTCCATTACTGCCATCTTGGGTCACTACTCTGCGTTTACGGTAGGCAGAGATGGAACTCTCGTTGGAAAGCGCATGAACAAGTTTCATCGGGTCCGACGTCTCGAACGCATGCACACAGCTTTTAAGAGCTTCGTCGACGAGTTCTTCGAAGACTGAATTAGGTATTTTTCTTGAAGCAAGAACCTAAAGACAAATACAAAATTATAGATTTTTGTATGGAAAACTCGTGAGCAAACCCAAATATGTTGGAGCGAACTCTGGTGGTTAAACACACTGACGGGTAGGTTTTGTCGGCCCAAAGTGGTGGTATTCACTCCAGTTGAGTAACGACAAAGATTGAAGTGATAAGAGAATCCTGCCTGGGGTTCCGCCTTCCATTGTGAATCTCGTATCTCAATCCAAATGGTATTATCGAGTCGATTTGAATTCGGGTCGAGATACCACAAACCTGGTTGACAGCGGCTAAGTGAATGTGCTCATGCGATACAAGTAGTGATATGACCACGTACCTTTGGCAAACCCTGTGAGTAACACAAAAAACCGCGAGATCAAATCAGAATTGGACTTTCACCAAGTGCGCTCGGGGTCTGTTGAACATACTACTTCACTGAGATATAGAACATCCTCAGTGACACTGACCTATTCTCCCTTGATATACCGCTGTACGCAGAATCAAAAGAGACCGATTTGTTTTAGAGGGCAAACACAAAAGGTATTACAAGTCCTAGCTAGGAAACAGACGACTCACATGGCAAGAATGTGGGCCGAAGACCTTTCACAGATGATATATGTAATGCTGCCACCCGACTGAGTGCTGCCGCACCGTCAGTCATTATTTCAGCTTTACCAACTTTTCCTGGGACAACTTGACACAATTGACGGCAAAGTGCCATACTTTCCTCGACCAGCTTGAATTCCCGGTCTACTCTGTTATAACAGTAAGCCTTGAAGCTGAAACAAGCTGTTGTCTCAAAAATGCGATGATCTTCCCAAAGCTGTATCAGAGGGGAATCTCGTCCTTCTGTATGCGGGATTTCCCCTAGACGCCATACAAATTCGTCTTTACTGGGTTTGACGTGACCTCGGATAGCGGCTTGCAATCAGTGGATGTGTGGAAATTAATGACATGATCCCAACAAGTTTTGATTGAAGCAAGAATTATACACTTACATGGTAAGTAAGTCAGTCCAAGAGCATCGGCTATCGTGTTCATGAAGTCCGGTGAGACAAGAAGCGAATTTGACATCACATCAGGCACTCTAGGCATGTTGATAAATCATTAGTATCATTCTATCAATAATCAAAGTGGTCAATCACCTTCGGATATTCTCAGGGGGGATATCGATAGTAGGAAGGGTAGCAGAAAGAAGAAGCGAGCCTCTTGAGACCTATGATACACAATGAAAACAAGCTAGTCAGCTTGTGTGCGTACCATAGAGCTGGACATAGGTAAATAAAGCAACAGATTACCCATTTGGCCTCGGACAGGTTCTTATTAAGTGATATGTCCAAGATCCCGTTCATGAAATTCGCAAGCGCACTCCAATCCGGCGAGTCGGACTGGTTGATGTGCACCATGTAAATTTTCGCCTGTAGATGTTTTGCTTCAAGAATTCATATCCTGAAGTGATCAAGGAAGTTATCGGAGACAAAGGTTTCTTACTGCTTTCCGCAAAACGGTGTGGTAAACGCGATTACCGATCCGCCATGGCTGAGTAAAGAAGCTCGCATGAGGGGATGTGTTCACCGATTCCGACTCCAATTCACGAAGTACTTTCTCACTGAGTGTCACGACCAGAAATTTTTCGGCTCCATAGGTGCGATTTAGAGCGTTGGACTTGCAGGCTTTGGGCGGACAGAGTTCGATCACAAGCTTCTTCTTTTCGGCTCCTTCTATGTTGACGTTCAGACTGTATTCTATGTTTTGTTGTACAAACTCGGAAAATTCCATCGCATCATCAAGGCGTTCTTCGAGCGCATGTCTCAGAGTCTTCGCCATTTGGGCGGGGTTCGGGAATTTCAGGTTCGGATCTTCCGCTTTGGCTGCCTCCGTCACCAAGCTACAAATGTCAGCAGGATTGCATGATATCCAACTAGGATCAATAACGGCTGGCGGTTCGCGACGCATAGTGGAGCAAGCTCTGAAGATTTCGTAAGTTCGAATCCAGTCGATATCAGGAAATGATGGATGATCAGTGACAATCGTATATTCTCTACGTGTAGACTTTCTGGAAGACATCGCGGACATCCAATTATTAGGAACAATGCGAATAACAGTCAATTCAAGTTGCAATTTTGCAAGTGCGAAGGAATAATAAAGAGAAAGAAAGATATGAGAATTGATCAGGGTTCGAATAGGTCAATTATAGGTCAATTTCCGATTGCCGCTGATCCTTTACATGGGGAAGCTCGATATCCAAACTTCACAACTCCCTCGCCCGCCTCACGAGGCCTCGATCGCGAGGCTAGGGCGAAGGACTTTGTTAATTTGTTTACTCGATATCCTCCTTTTATGATTCCGGATCGGTGTTGTTCGAATGGCGGGTGTTTGAATGTACATGAGTCTCGTGACGCGGTGCTCTACAAAGTTCGCCGGAAATGACTTGTGAGGCGGTAACACAAGGCAAGTTGGCAACACAACATGGTGAAACATCAAAATATCTTTACGTCATATCGATATCAATAAAGTTCTGAAATCACATAATAATGATAAGAAACTCGGTGTTGATGCAGGATAACTTCTGCAAGATAAAGTATCCTTCTGTTTGCAAATTGTGCTTGACCAGCATTCCATCACGATAGTGAGGCTGGGGTGAAGGACTTTGTTGATTTGTTTAATCGATATCCTCCTTTTACGATTCCGGATCGACGTTGTCCGAATGGCGGGTGTTTGAATATACATCAGTCTCATGACGCAATGCTCTACAAAGCTCGCCGGAAATGACTTGTGAGGCGGCAACGCAAGGCAAGTTGGCAACACAACATGGTGAAACATTAATATCTTTATACACCATATCGATATCAATAAAGTTCTGTTTTCACATAAGATGACTCGGCGTTGATGCAGATAACTTCTGCAAGATAAGGGATTCTTTTGTTTGCAAATCTCCTTGACAGCATTCCATCACGAACGTCCCTTTCATCTTCTAATTTACTGCTCTGCTCACAAAACCCCATGGCCGTGAGCTCCTTGACCACAATATATACTTCATGGGATATCAAATACGTGAACGAGAAATTCGACAAAGGTACAGTCGTTTTCAAAAAGCTTGCCGAAATTTGCCCGCAAAACTCGAGCGATCTGGCGGTGAATTAGCGGCAAGCTTTTTGAAAACGACTGTATCAAAGTTTAGGATATGCCCGAAGCAGTTACATATAGGGGATACAAAGTTGAAATCCGGCCGAAAATCCGGCCGCGTGGCCAGATTTCCAGATTCCATTTTTTTCTGGCCACGACTTGAAATTTGGCAAAAAGAGAAATCAACAGATCACTGGCCAGTTCTTCACTCACCTCAATTCCATATCCGACTCAACACCTCAATCTCAAGATTTTTGTTCTCATCCAACACCAGGCACCCAGAAATCCTTCCTTACACTCTGAGTCAAATCGATCTTCATTACATTCTCATTCTCATTCAAATCAACCTTATCCTCCTTTATGGAATTCAACTAATCATCGAGATCGAGTGAAGATTACGGATTTTTTGAATAAAGGACAATTAACTTCAATGGTACAACAGATCGGTAACAGATCATTTTTCTTCTCTTGATTAATACTTTAAAAATCATATTCGATCTGATTTAAATCTAATCTACTCTTTTGGTTTTGGTTTTGTTTTCTCTTTAGCTGCTTCATATCAATTAAAAACACTTGAACCTGCGATTTTAGATGTTTTAACTCAAGCTGCAGAACAAAGACTCTTTCAAACCTGTGGATGAATGAAACTGGCAGACAATAGCAGTTGATCTTAGTCCAAAGACATCCTCGATCTAGAAGTTTTGTTAAAGAGTCACTTTTCGGAACTCTGAATTTTGTATTAGATCCTTTGTATAATCTTTTCACACACGAATCAAATCAAACAAGGATACAGATAAGTTTAAGAATAGTCAGACCAGATGCACTGCCAGCATTAAAGAGGTTCCCAGATGGGAATATGGGTCCTAGTGATCACATTCCCATCCTGCTACTGTTACACAGTTCCATGAATATTTCCTGAGTAGCCATTGTGATATATGTAGTCAATATTTTGAGATGTGTGGCTCAATCTGAACAAAGTTACAGCATGTATTACACATGAACTTCTTATCTAGATGAGCAGAAAACTGAGCGGACCTGTATGTAGCTGATAGCTAAGGATTTACTCAGATGTTTGCACATATGTAGTGTATGCTTTATGGCTCAGATGTGCAGTGCAAGATGATTTGATGCACCATTCTTCTCTCAATGATATTCCCAGCCTAGGTCATGTTCCGACCAGGGAACATATTTAATGCTGGCAGTGATGGAATCTTTGTGAGAATTGAAGTCAAGAGTTGGTCTTTTTCATCAATCGAAAGATTTGAGATTGATCTATCATAAGGTTCATGTTGTGATTGATTAAATTGTAAGTTTGGTTGACCGAGAAAGCTGCCTTCTTTCAATTCTTGTCAGTTACAGTAATTTGATGGATTTGTAAGGCTTGAATCATGCGTAAGAAAAATCTATCCCAGCGAGATTGACTTGAAACATTGCAAGTGAGTCTAGGTTGTTCTGAACATACGCCTTTCTTGCATGTCGTGCTGTTTGAATGGACCTCTTGAGGGCTATTTTGCGATGGTATCGAGTTGTTGCTATGTGAAGTGGGGGCGAGTCGTCGATATTGGATGTGGGACTGGTGGTGTAGTGGAAAGTTGGCATGGAACTTGAAGTCGGGGGATTCAAAGTTGAGAGAATCCGGACTCATGTCCAGATTCCGAATTACCGCAAAAAATGGAATCTGGAAATCTGGCCACGCGGCCGGATTTTCAGCCGGATTTCAACTTTGTATCCCCTAATAGTCATCTTTCCAAATGTTACAGTCAAACCGGAAAAGCTTGCCACCAATTCCCCGCCAATTTGCTCGAGTTTTGCGGGCAAAATCGGTCAAGCTTTTCCGGTTTGACTGTATTTGATATGGTAAATTTGACAAATCTGGGCTATGCAGATGTATTTCAGAGATACGATAATATGTATATGATTTGATCGGAAGGATAAGTGGCTCTCAAACCTTACCCAGTTTCAAAAAACCCGGTTGCCCCAGTTGAATTTTTGGCTGGGAGCTGTCAACAAATGTCAACTTAATACACAAAGTTGCTGCCAAAAAACAACTGGGTCAACTGGGTTTTTTGAAAACCGGGGCAGGTTTGAGAGCCACTATAGATAAGATTTCCTATATTCATGTAGGCTTTGATAGATACCAACTCATAATAATGGGGGGAGAATGTTGAACTTGACTCCAGTTCTCACATGAGATAGCTGTTCCCATCATGAGCAACCAACTGGTCAAGATGTGCCTTATGCTTTATTTCCAAAATTAGACGGCAATCTGGACCTTTCTTGCTCTAACTTAGGGTATGTTTGGTAGCGATTATTTTTGTCGATTATTTTGAATAATCGCAATTATTTTGCAAAATAATTGCTGTTGAAAAAATACGTTTGGGACCATTTATGCTACCCCAAAATAAACTCCTTCCCCGTCCCAAAAGGAGTTTAAAAGGGTACTTTGGATAAACGCCAAAAGGGAGTATAACCATGCAATAAACTCCTTTTTGGACTTAACAAAATTTCATTTCAAAAGACTTCAAACCTCCTCGGTGTCATAGCAAGCAAACCAGATGCTATTTCTTTGACTCAATCAACACCTTCAACACTCACCAGCCAATCTTCATTTCTACTTTTAGCTCTTAGCTGCCTTTCCTTCTGATTTTGTCTCACTGATCATTGCCTCCAATCTATCTTGTGTTTCTCAAGTCTCAATTTGAATCTAGAACTGAAATTCATCCTGATCTTTGGTGTAAAAAGTTATTGTCTTTTTTGATACACATATGAAAGCTTTAAAACCAATTTTGATTGTAGAAGCAAATTCTTGATCATTCAATTTAATTTTCTAGCAATTTTGCAATTTCAATCAATCGGTCAATATCAATCAATCATTCAAAATCATTCATTTGTTCAATTTCAATCAACCATTCAATCATGATCAATTTTTGAACGTCCAGAAATACAACACAAATCACCCTTGAAAGATGAGATACATAGAAAGTGAGGCAGAGTATTGGAATTGGATTTTTTGTTGAATTTGATTGGTGATTCAATTCAAGTCAATCATTCAATTTTGCCCGTTCCATCCTAATTGATTGTTCAACATCGACTTTGATTGAAAAGTTTGTTGGATGGGGATAAAGAGGACAAAGATTGTGTCACATGATCATTTCTTGGATTGGACTTTGCCAAAGCATATCCATACCGGTCAATGTGAGGTGGTAGAATGCGACAGTGAAGTGAGGTGAGGTGAGAGAGGGAGTGAGAAACTTTGAAAAACAGTTTGCACACAAGATACGTCTGGTTAGGATTTTCCACCAAACGTGATTTTCTCAAATGGACCCATAACGGAGTTTTTTTGAAGAAAACTCCATCCACTCTTTAACTTGCTGTCTCTCATGAGTGTATATGTATGAAATCATACAATATATTGCAATTTAGTTTATGAGTATCATCTAGTATGATTTCATAAGCCGGTTTGTCCTATTCAAACCTAAAGAGTTCATCTTGAGTTCTCTAGGTTTCTTGGGGGGGGCCCTCTGCCTTGGTAAAGGCTGAGGGAGGTAGGACACCGGCCACAGTAGGAGGGAGACCGCTGAACGGTGGGCTAGGCACTACAAGAGAAATACATACTAAAGAATACCTATAACCAAAAAGGAAACTCATAATTCATATCTTTCTACCATTACTGGGACTCTTTCCCTTACCAATAATACTTACCGGGGTCACTAGAGCTTCAAACCTGTACACGGGGGGTGGGTGGGTTCGAAAAGAAATCTGCAAGCTGAAGAGCTTGAATTGTGTGTGAGAGAGAGAAAGGACAGTGAGGATTTCCAGATTCGAGCGTGAGATTGCGGATGTGGGGGAAATTGACACTCGGGAAAATTTTCAAGGTTGGGAAGTCCTCCCTAACTTGAATTTCCTTTACCAAGTGTCTGGGAAGCATCCTTCGCTATAAGGCTATTCCCTGTATTCGCCCACAGTCCGATCTTGCTCGTATCGTGGAAATAGGCGGTACCGTCGTGCCTTTGGGTACCGCCACTCATCCACTCTTTAACTCACTGTCTCTCATGAGTGTATATGTATGAAATCATACAGTATATTGCAATTTAATTTATGAGTATCATCTAGTATGATTTCATAAGCCGGTTTGTCCTATTCAAACCTAAAGAGTTCATCTTGAGTTCTCTAGGTTTCTTGGGGGGGGCCCTCTGCCTTGGTAAAGGCTGAGGGAGGTAGGACACCGGCCACAGTAGGCGGGAGACCGCTTCCCCTTGACTCGGGATGCAGTCCTGAGCCTGCAATCACCCACCTACTGTGTCTCGTGTCAAGTCGATGGACAACCCCCCCGGGCTATGTGGCTTGTCGTGTTATTAAAAACTACAATCTGTCAAGTTCGTATACAGCGAACTCAAAAAGGATCTGCATGGATCTACTCGGTGTCACATTCCTAAGTCAACCATAACACCGGCGAAGATCCTCCGGTCAACTCCTAAATTTGACTTCCTCTAATACACGTAGCGTTTCTAATAACTCCTCTTTGCTATACTCTCTGATATATAACTTGTAAGCTTTTGACTTCCAACGCCCGACTCTAACAATCTCTTCCAACGGGTGACTTAAGTTCCACCTCAATGATGCACCTCCTACGCGAAAGGAGTGCCCCGTAAGTCGGCTTCCTTCCTGATTCAACCACGTTTCCGAAAACAATTTCTGACATCTCGCCTTTGTCAAGGTTATCCTTTTCCCATCGCGGGGGTAAGAGAACAACGGATTGTTGTCTGTAGCTTTCGTATCATTAATGAGCCTACGAATAGCGTCCACTGGATCCAATAGGGAAGACTGGCGCTGGCAGTGAATTTCTTGTATCTCGTCAACCGCCGCAGTTTTTGCTGATTGAATTTTTATCCTGATATAATGTCCATCTGGGTCCCAAATCAGATCGTTTACTCGGATCTGATCTATCTTACAGGAGGATTTCACCAACTCCCCCAGCCTCGCCATACCCCAAAAGGCTGTCAAGGCTACCGTGTAAGCTACTTGTCTTTCTAATTCTCCTGTTGCGAGATCCTTCACCAAATCGAACAAGTGTCTGACCAAGACCGGGTTCTTCTTCTCTTTTGGTTCTAGGCGAAGCTCTAACTTTTGCGCAGCTTTGAGTATTGCTTCCACCCTCGGAGTCTCCTTGTGCGGATAGTCGAAGCCGTGGAACAAATGCCAGGCTTTGACTCCTGACAAGTAAGTCCGGATCGTATTTGATTTGATAGGGGGGCAGTTATCTACATCTGGTCGTTGATCCAACTTTGGGCCTGCCCAAACAGCGAAGTGACATAGAACTTCAGGGTCGATTGGCAGAAGGAGGCGTCTCGGGATGTTATACTCTTTTGCGAAGGTCATCAATTTGGAAACTCCGGCGTTATAGTGTTTTAATGTCGCCGGCGTCCAGGTTCCACCTTTTAACATGTAAGCTTTCACTGCGTTATCACTTGATGAGTCTACTCCATTTTCATCCTTCAAAAACTCCATTATCTGATTGACTTATAAATTAATCGATTAAAGTGACGTTTTATAATTCTTCGTATTAAATTTCTAATGTTGCGATCGAGAATTGTTGATCATCACCGGCGGTACAGAACAGGATCAATGCCTCCTAGTCTCCCCGATTCTCGACCATGGAACTTTTGATCACTCACTCCGATCGGGGCGATCGGTACTCACGGCGAAACTGCTGTCTATAGAGGCACAGGGGAACACACATACAACCGGAACACGTTTCAAATTACATTTCAAGGAATTCAGCTAACGATTTCAAGAAAACGTCATCGTGCGTTTCAACCACCTATCTTCATCTAAAGAACTTGGCGAACAACATCACGTAGGTCACTTGGCACTTCGATCACCACAACGTCATCTGCAGATCGCTTGTCTTTCCCCACGACAACAAGTCTGCCATATTCTCTCCTGATTTTACATGTTGTGCTACAATATCGCAGTGTAAGTGCTCCAACAACTTTTGAATCCTTTTCCATTCTTTGTTTACTTCCACGTCTCCTGACTTCCTGTTATCCACTGCAGCCTGCGAAGTTGTGTTATCGGTAAGTACAATAAACGACTTCCCTCCTACATTCCTAAAGGTGCTGAGCATTATCAAACCTAGACGAATTGCAACGGTCTCAGCCCAGGAAATATTTTGTTTCCCTCTCAAAGCTTTCTGCATATTCCACCCTTCCTTCAGATCGAATTGGGCCCCCTTGGACCCGACTAGCACTCCAATGCCAGTTAGCAATGCGTCACCGACCCACTCTACATCTATTGGAACTTGATCTGGTATTATCCGTCTTTGTTTAAAGGACTTCATTGCCGCCTGCCATTCCAGTAAATCTTCCTGTACGTCACCCGGAATTTTTCTTTTCGCAGATGCCACTTGCCATGCACTCTCCCACCTATATAAACTCGAGAGGTAGCACTTTAGATGAGGAACAATGTGTGTAGTATGAACTAACCTTCCTACAAATTTTTGCACTTTTTTCAGGTTAAACGACCCTTCTGGTACCAGGAATTCCTCTATTTCATTTAGGCGAGCATCAAACTTCTCATCAGGTAATCGCACCGTTCTTTCTTTTGAGTTCCAAATGAATCCAATGTATCTTTGCTCCTCCGCAAAGTCATGGACCTTTTCCGCATTCGAAGAAACTCCCATCTCTGAACTAAATGCAACGATATCTTGTATTGATGTATTATTGTCTACATCTTTCACAAGTAAGTTGTCGTTGACCCATCGGAATGCTTTGGTCAGATTAAAGGCTAATACAATTATTTGTTTCCATAAATCAGCAGGTCTTCCAAACACGCCGCACCCTGCGACTCCACCGAATTGAATCCGCGAGTCCAGCCATAGTCTATTCGATAGGTCCATGAGAAACAGGAACCTCCATTGCGACGGGTGAATAGGAATCTGCCAATAGGCCTTTTCCCAATCAAACAAGGCGAGTAAGTAATTTCCTTGATGATCTCTGAAGAAAGCTGCTACGATCTTAAAATCGTCCCATGTCGTGGCATAATCTGTCTTGTCAACAAAGCTGTTAACTGATAGTGTGTCCTCGATTTCGTGAGGAAAAGACAGGTCGTTGATTATTCTGAAGGAACCATCTCCATTAATGACACTTCCCATCGGACTAGACCTGAAGAAACCTATTTTGGCGAACACCTCTTCATGAGTAAAAGGTCTGAAGATCCTTTTTGCTCTCTGTTCCTTCTCTAACGTGTTTGCTATCTTTTCCGCTGCCATTTTTGCTGATTCATGGTTATCGGGAGTGTACCACCTTCTATCTCCCATCGTATGATCAGGTATACCCTGGTGAAACCCGTCTAAACATCCCTTTATGACTTCTTGCGCATCTTTTTCAATCCCATACAAGGCCACCAACGACCTCCATCTCGATAGATTCAGGTCACAAACGGCATACTCTAATGGCCACCTACTGTCATAGTGTCTGCCTGAGTTCTTATATGGCTTTATTCTTACAACACTCACTTCGTTAGGCACCCTCAGTCTAGGTCCGTGATCAGGTAAGGCAAGTTCCTTCCTCCAGTCAAACCTATAGGCAAGTAATGGAAAGGCAATTGAAGGTTAGTCAAGGGCAGAAATTAATCACAGAGTCCTGTCATACGACGTTTATTTCATGGAGACCACGACATCAATGGCGGATGTCTCATTTAGGTCAGAGGGAGAAACGACGATCTCTACAATTGACAGTCTACAAACATTGTGACTGGTTACAAATCAAGAAGAAACTAATCCAACCACAATCGTTATACCCGACTATCTTTGGGTGGTGGTAAAAAGGGTACGTCTAGAGGAAATTTCATCTCTTTGAAAGGAAATAATTCGGCCAATGGCTTACTTTGCCTTCCCGTTGTTTCCGCCGTACTTAGGGCCGTTTGCCTCTCCTCTACGGTCGTCGCGTCTGTCATCCTGACGCCAAGAACCACCACCTTCTCCTCTTCGGTTGGCAAAACGATCGTTCTCTCGACCACTACCGTATCTTTCACTATCACGACCACCACTACCTCCGTTCCAGCCTCCTCCGCAACCGCGACCCCTCACGTTTCTCCCATCACCTCTTCTATCGTCGTATTGTTGGTAGCTTGGGTTGTTAGGTCCTTCATAGAAAGGTTGAGGTGGATAATGGTTGGCATGTTGCCAGGACCGGGCAATGGGCTTGCCATAATGAGGAGCGTGACTAGAGGAATTCGCGACCTGGTATTGTTTCTGGTGATTGAACGGTTGATATTCACCGGTGATAGGGTGAATGTTGGCTTTTGGTTGGCCTTCAGCGTACGGGTTAATGTCTTGAAACCGGGTTGAAAATCACTGAGGCGTTCACATTCGGTTCGAGCTTCTCTTTCTCGATTTTCATCACGAACAGCGGGGTTTGCTAACTTGCCATCCGCATTCTTAAAGGTCATAACCGTCGACCAAATGGCTTGATTGTATCTAAAGGCCACGATCCAGGATGCCCACTCTCTTTTAATCGCCATTACATTCTCTCGGTGAATAACGAACTTATCAGCAACATCTCCGTGTCCGTAGTGACGTATATAAGAAACAAAAAGGTCTAAGGCCGATATCCATTCTCCAAAGTTCATTCTCCATTCATCAGGAACATCTAGACCGGTATAACGATCGTCTTCACTGTCTTTCTTTTTCTTGACTCTTTGGGACTGGCGAACTAGGTCTAATCGTAACCACTGAGGATTGAAAATCAATAGGGGAATGTATCCCTCGAATGGTTTCATCTTAGCATCGAACCAGGGTGATAAGGCTACCAAACCGTCAACTTCTATTCCAGTCTCGCTTACTTCCACTTTTTTCATTTCTGCAGCTTTAGGTTCATCATCGTCCTTGGTCAAATCGACTTGTTGTGGCATTTTCTTCAGGATCGATTTCTCCTTCTCTTGGGCTGGCGCAGCGACCCGTGATGGCGTGACAATTGAACTAGCTAGAGCAGTAGACATGCCGTTGAGAGCATGGTTTGGAGTAGATTGGTTGTTGACAACAGTAAGGCCTTTAGCTTTCAACCAGGAATGGAAACCGCGGGGGGGACTATCGCCCGTTTCTGCGACCATGTTTCTACGTGTTGGGGAACGTACTGTACGAGGAAATTCAATTAAAGATATGTTCAGTTATCACTCTCAGTGCTGGAGGCTTCACGCGTTTGGTGGCATCACCAAAGGTGGGAAAAACCGAACTTCGCTATACGCGGCATCACTCTGGGTGGTTACAATTGAATTTGTGGCTTACAATTTGGCACATTATCTATATTATCTCTTGACAGTAAACCACCTGAGTGTAACACCAAAGTTCCTGGCGTCGATGGTACGTCTTGATTGTTTGGCGACTTATTGGTTGGAGCGATGACAGCTGTTGAGTTGGTCGACGTATTTCCTTCCTCACCGGGTACCGTCAAAGTAACGACTGGTGTGGTGGGCGTTTGAGCATTAGTCCTATTGGAGACTGTTGAATTTCCACAGCCGCGTCCTCTGCTTCGACCACGACGACTTTCAAGTGTTGCAGTTGGAACGACAATATCAGAATCTGGTGGAGGGACTGAACCCCCTCTTAACCTACTGCTAGTCCTTCTCAGCATTTCATTGAAATTTTGCGTGTTGGTAGTGATCTTGTCTGCTGTCAACATTTTCTTAACTTGAATAAGGATTTAAATTTTTGATAAAGGATAACCCCAAGTAATGATATCTTTTTCGAAAAGAAATCTGCAAGCTGAAGAGCTTGAATTGTGTGTGGGAGAGAGAAAGGACAGTGAGGATTTCCAGATTCGAGCGTGAGATTACGGATGTGGGGGAAATTGACACTCAGGAAAATTTTCAAGGTTGGGAAGTCCTCCCTAACTTGAATTTCCTTTACCGAGTGTCTGGGAAGCATCCTTTGCTATAAGGCTATTCCCTGTATTCGCCCACAGTCCGATCTTGCTCGTATCGTGGAAATAGGCGGTACCGTCGTGCCTTTGGGTACCGCCACTCATTTGACCAATAAACTCAATTGCCCCAGGGCAATGTAACTGGGGTCAAACGGAGTTTACAATCTGTAAGTGCAACCAAACATACCCTTAACTAAGTCCCTCTGTAAGCAGACACTATTTCCTCGCAAGCTTGGGTATCTGGAGAGGGACTTCTGTATTATCGGGCTTCCCTGGTGAGCCAGCAGGGGGTTCAAAATTTGGGTTTTGGTGGGAGGTTTTTTGAAACCTCAAAAAGTCATACTTCCTCTCAATCAAGCCCCTTGCCCATTTGGACTGGAGCTACCTGTGCCTGTTCCCGTCATTTCTGTCTATTCAGATTTCTTATATCTCACTCTGAGCTTTCTCAAGAAAGGAGTGAAGTTTTTGAATTTTGAAATTTTGTTGCAGGGAACAATTCCATGGGCAAAACAAAATTTAAAAGAACACATTCTGTTTGCTCTTGCAAGACAACAGCTTGTTAATCAATGTACTTCGTTCAAAAACAAAGGTTGTTCAATTGCTTTGAAGACTTTTCTCTCCTCATATTTTGTGTATTGTATTAACTACAGGAGTTATGAGAATGTAGACAATGAGGTGCATTCGAGGTCCTGCTGGTACACCAAAACTAGCCGGTAATACACAAGTCCCTCTCCAGGGCACCGAGCTTGCGAAGGTAAGAAGGCCCTGCAAGATTTATGGGACTTGTGTTAAGTTAGTTTCTTGCTTTTATTGGCTGGACTTGGTTTTATTGTTTTTGGTGATTCAAACAACCACTGTGCTTTGATGCGTGGAGTGACATCATGCTCCACTCAACCTTCAGGACATCTGGGTTGCACATACACAATTTAATTTGGCAGGGGGTCAATCATCATTGTGACGTAAGAGGGGGAGGTAGAATTTCATAGTGCGTGGAGGCAAGACCTTGGCAATTTGGGATCAAGTAAATACTCGATAATTTGCCCTTTTTGGCCCCGCCGACTCAAATTGCCAAACCTTCAATCAGGTTGGATTCTGGTTTTTTCATTGGAGTGGTTTGCTGCTCATTTGACTCAAGCTCAGTTTACTGTCCCAAGTTGTGCTTTCCCTCAACTTTATATGACAAAAATTCACGGAGCTAAATTAAAATTGCCAAAGAAAATCAATTCTTCAGAAAATAACAAGGAATTATTATCTAAATACTAAAAAGATGGACCACTTGCATGAGTTTTGGTCCCTTTTCTTACCCGTCCACCAGGTCCGATTTCGGATTTCATTCTATTGCTTTTTAAGCGTCTTATTGCTTCCCAGCACCATTTCTTATTGCTTTTATGACTGTACACGGTACTCGCATGACTCGAGTCTAGACGATGTGGTGATCAATTTATGGGATCAATTAAAAAATTCACAATTACCAGTTTACCAGTTTATTAGCAGGATTCAGCAGGAAAGAAAATTCAAAATGGAGGTTTTTGATCAATTGAAGCTCTTGTAGGCTTATGTATTGGTCATTAGGTCAACATTACATCATTTTATTTCACATTATATATTAAGATCATTATAGTTTACTTACAAATTTATTACAAAAAGAAAGAAAGAAAAACATAAGAAAAATTCGAAATTATAGGTATAAAGGTTGGAAAATGGTTTTTAGGTTAGTAAAAATAAAGTTATGGGTATTATGAGGTTAGAATATGAAAGAAAAACATTATATGATACTATGAAAATTTTAATCTTCAAGGTTGATAAGTAGAAACAGAAGTTATTAGGAAAAAAGCACTTTTTCGAAGTTGGTAAACAAGAGGTACACGTGTAGTTTGGTTGTGTAATAGTGGTAGTGATGGAGTTTAAGGTTGCCAAGAGGATTTTCCGGGATTTTTAAGGCTATAGATGATGATGTCATATTACATGAGCAAGAAAAAGATAGTAGTAGCTGTGAAAAGTGAAGAAAATGGGTGAAATTCGTGGAAAATGGAGGTTTTCAGCTAATTACATATGTCAAATGACGTCAGAATAGGTTGGTAGATGGCTCATTCAACGCAGAAGAGTGGATTACATAATGTACAAACTTTAAATCATTAGTAACGGAGGTGTGTGTAAAAAGTTATAAGGCAAATAAAGAATTGGTGTGAATCTCGAATTTACAGTCACAAGTCATATGTAACACTAAAAACCTTAACTTCACAACTCAATATCTTACTCATCACTCATCAGAAGTAGGTCATGTAGGTGTCAGAAATGATCAGTAACACGTGGGCTACAAGATGCACTTTAGTAATCAAAAATTGGAGCACATCTGAAAAAATTCGTAATCTCAAAAATTGGTTTTCAGCTAGTTTACAAGGAAAAAATCACCTGTATTCATCATAAGAAGTGCTGTACATCATATTATTGCGTCATTGATCACTTTTAGCTGTGAAAATTACATCATTTATTAGTAACAAAACCATTACATTGCGTCATCATAGGGTTTTTAGGGAATTTTGGGCGGATTTGATTGGTTTTGAGGCTGTTGACCATTGTAAAAGTTCTAGTACATTGTTATATATACTTTGAGAGGGTTTTGGGACTGTTGTTCCCCTTTTTTTTCTTTATCATTTACGCCATTATTATTTTGTTTATCATCATAAACTTATTTTAATAGTACCTGTTCACTTAAATACGCCCTTTATTACAGTTATAAAGAGAAATTTACTTTAGTTTTATAGTCATAAAGACTTATTGGGAATAATATCAATCAGATATTGCTTATTTTTTTTCAGTTATCAATTGGGAATAACACTATAGCAGTGTTGATAGTAATACAAAGTGTGCTTTTGAAGTTAAAATTACGTGTGAAGTTATATTTCTCTGGTGCCTTATCAGTACTCAATACAACAGAGCTCTTTCTGATTGTGTTGTTTTAGAAGAGCAGTCCTTAGACAACTTCTACTAGTCATTTTATTAGTAGATTATCCTCTTCCAGCTCTGTATAACCCTTGTTGGGTTATAAGTTCTACAACGAGTCCTGTTCAGTGTCAATTGGTCTTACTTGATTTAGTATTCCCCAATTGATGCTTTTTTCATGTTTTTAGCTGTCCGATTGTTCTCCTCAGCTTTTCTTCTGTGCACATATCAACTGTCAATTTTTTAATGAAGGCACCATACCTACTCTTGTTTCAACAGATTCCTTCTTTGGTTCCCTCCTTTTTGAGGAAAGCTCATTTTCTGTGTGAATTGAAGTTTTGAACAATGACAAAATTGTCCATGGGTGCATTTAGCGCACCCAAGGTGTTTGCAATCACTCGATTATACTTGATCGAGCTTGTCCTGTTGATTGTTCCAATTGAAATTCTAATTCAATCATGTTTTTTTGTTCCTTTCAATCTGAAATGCATTCTATTTCTGCTTTGTCCTCTTTGTTAATCTTATATCAGCTTTTCAAGGTGCTTTTACAAGTGCTTGCTTTTAAAAGTGAGGTGCACCCAAGTCACTGTCGCCTCAATTTCACATATTGCCTATGGCTATTGAGTTAGACTATAAAAAGGCATTCTTTTTGCCATTGTTTTGGGGTTATCTCACCCCTACAATCTATCGATTATCTAATTTTTGTTATTCCATCATCCTACATTGTTATATATGAATCTGTCAGTCGTGTTTATAATCTCTTTCTTCTGTTTGTGTCTGATTTAGTGCAAATCCACCGTCAATCACCCTCGCCGCGACGTAACAACTCAATAGTCTGTAAGGGTATCTCTGGAACAAATCATCTTGAGTATCAAGGGAATTTTTTGACGTACGCAAAGGACACTACTTTTTGTCGTTGTATGAAGTGTAACTTCTCTGTTTTAATCTACGTATGCATATGAAATGTTAGTAGGACAATGGCTTTCCAAATTGCTATGTGAATCCTGAATACTTGCTATCTGTAAATTGGATCTTGCTCATATTTGTACATACAATATTGCCCTTTGCTACTTTCTCTTTCAATCATCTCATTGAACTCCATAGCTTGGATCATCAAGCTTTTAGCATCATTGAAGATTGTTTGTAAAAGAACTACTATACAGCAGTATGGTCCAATTAATTTGAAGAATATCTTTCTGGTTTTGCTTATGCTGTAGTCATCACATGCATATTTCTTATCTTGCTTTTGATTCAGCTTTTGGATGACTTCAAACTGGTTCAAAAGTATCTTTCCAAAACCATCTACATTGATTGTTATCAACCAGTCATCATTGGTATATTAGCTGAATAAGGTTGTGATTTTATTGTGTTATGCCGGGCCTGAGTAATGTAGTATCAGTGTACGTATGTGTGTTCCACAATCAATTGGCTCCGTTTTGCAATCTTATTCCAGTTAAAATCTGTTAAAATTGGATTTGAGACTTCTCCTTCATTTATCACTTGAGATGTGGTAGCCAGCCACCTCTTCAAAAGGGTCTCAAAACATATCAAATAAAAGTCTTGTTGATGTTGTGCAGTAATTCTTTGAGCAAGTTTTATTTCTCCCCATTGAGACAATTTCAGTTTGAGATTGATAGAAATCCGCTTTAGCCTCCTACACCGCATACCTAAAAAAATGGAACCAGACCAAGAACAAATCAGTAAGGAAAAATGGCACACTGAAGCACAATGAAGCAGAGGTAAAAGGATTGTATTTCAAGTCAATCAAGTGAAGGAGACAGGATTATCAAGATAGAGCAGGAGCAAGGGAAGGTATA